AATATACTCCAAGGGAATAGAACTGAGGCATGAATGGAGACTTGCACACCAATGTTCATAGCAGTGTTATTCACCATCACAAGAAAATTTGAAACAGCCCAAATATCCAACCACTAATCAAATGGATTGAGATATGGTACTTTCACACGATGGAATACCACACAGCATGCAGGATCAATGATTTTGTAAATTACTACCTAACTTGGGAGGGCTTGGAAATCACTATGCTGAATGAACTAACTCAGTCCCATAAGGACAAATAGTGTATAAAGCCATTACTATAGAATGAGTATGAGGATCCAAGGGGGGGTGGGTGAGGGGAGCAGAGGGGTGAGGATGAGCTTGGGTGGGGTGGTTCATCATCGGGTCACACAATTTGATGGGTGGAGGGAAAGGTGGTAAAGGAAATGGGAAAGATGCAGTGTGAAAAACAAGTGTATATGAGCTTTGTAAATAAACCAGTATAAAATAAAAAATTTTATTTAAAAACAAATTAATTAGAGTTAAAAAGGTTTTACTGGGAATAAAAAAAACTCTTCCTAAATAGGGAGTACCCCTCCAAAAAAGATAAACTTGTCACTTTACAATTTCAACAATTTTATACTCAATACAGACTATTAATGGATTTATAAAAGAGAAACTGAAAATGTTGACTGTTTCTCATTTCATTTCTTGGACTGATTGATGAAGTTTATGTGTCAACATTCTATCAGCTAGATACAGTTTATGTGCCATCTCATAGCTGCTCCTCTAGTGGATTTTCAGAGACAGTTAATTGCACAGGAGGAGACTGCCCATCCTTCTCCTATAGAGCAGCAGGTGGATTTGAACCTCATGCCTTTGAGATTTCAGTGCAGCTTCTTACCACTAGTCCACCAGTTGTTGTTGTTAAGTGCTGTCAAGTCAAGCATGACTCATAGAGACCCTATGAACAAAAGACCTGAACCCTGTTCTATAACTATTGTCGTTTCTCTAAGTTCATACATTTCCAGAGACATGTTGTTTAGAAAGTGTTCCCAAATCTGTCTTAATCTGGGAACTCCATCAAACACTGTCCACCATGGGTAACCATTACAGCATTTGACACCCCAGTGGCACAGCGTTCAGCATCACAGCAACCCCAAGTTACCTCAGTACAGCGAATTGACAGATCAGTGCTGTACCACTTAGAAGAATGCTCATTCCAAACACAATTAACTCCTACCGCCTTTTAAATACAAGATCTGCCCGCAAGGCCCTGAGTGGCTCTCAAGAAGTCTTCCAGCTCACAGCTCACAAATCCTGCAAATCCAATCAGCTCACATATGGTTTGTGAATTAAATAAAAACAACCAGACAGTCCACACTCAAAGAAGAACCCACCTTTCAGAATCCAATGGCTTCACACATGAGCCTCCACACAAGCTCCCTTCAATTACTGAAGAGATATTTAATTACCTAATTATTTAAAATGCTAGATAATGAATAAAGAAGACCAAAGAAGAATTGATTCCTTTGAATTATTGAATATTGGGCATTCATACTAAAGACTGTCAAAAGAATAAATAAATGTGTCTTGGACAAAGTACAACCAGAATACTTCTTAGAAGATGGTGAGATTTCATGTCATGTACTTTGAACATGTTATCAAAAGGAACCAGTTCTTGGAGAAAGATCTCATGCTTGATAAAAAAAGAGGTTTAGCAAAACACAGGGGAGAAACCTCTCAATGACCTAGATTAACACAGTGGCTCCCAATGGTGGATTCAGGCGCAAAGGTTGTAGGTTTGGAGGCAAAGAGTAACAATGGAAGAGTGGCCAGAGATAAAGTGGAGGTTTAGATTGGGGTGGGCCACTGCTGTTCTTTATTTCTCAGTGCTGTGGTGACAGAAATATTACAAGCAGGTGGTTTTAATAAATAGAAATGTCTTTTTCATACACTTTAGAAGGCTAAATGGCCACATTTAGGGCACCAGTTCTAGAGGAGGTCTCTTTCTAGCTCTTCTGTGGTGGAAAATCTTTGTCTCTGAGAAATATGAGCAAGTTTCCTCCCTTAAAGGTTACAGTCTCAAATCAAAGGTCAGTCAATTGACTCAATGGCAGTGTATTTGGTTTTTTGTTTCTGCTTCTCTAGTCAACCATACTTGGAGCTCCTGGGCTTGTAGCCTGGTCCACCTCTGCCACCTTCAGATAATGTTTATCTCCCCACCTCCCAACTCCACTCTGCTTCCCCTGTCTGTTTCACACCACTACTGCTTTCTAATCTGTTATTCCATTATCTCAAAAATGACTGGCTTTAGACACATCCTACAGTTATATGACCTCATTACTATAAGAAAACCCTATTCCCAAATGGGATCACATCTACTTTTATAGGGGTTAGGGATATATATTTTTGACAGATCTATGACTGGTGCCAATCTGTAAGAGGCTCTAAATAAAAAGAAAAAATACAATTAATTGAGCCACTTGTCGCTCCTTACATAACTGATGAAGTCTAAATTGGTTTCATTCCCTTGAGGGGAAACTGTGTCCTTGAATGTTCATTAAAAAAATTTTCCTGGCCAGAAATTCCAATTATCTCATGTTATATTCAGTGCATATAATAAATTCCTTATGCAGTATTTAAATCTAAAGAGGTTTCTAATTCTTATTAATAGAAAGTCGGATTCTTTCCACTCTCCAACAGATATTTTTAAAAATTATTGACCTTTAAAAAAATATATTGACCTATTTGTGATGGACAAACGTGATGGCCACATCCTCTGTGCAGTCCTGGATGAAGGCCTCTTGTTCCCTCTCCCAGGTAAACACAGGACTGATCTGCTTTTCTCAGAGTAAGGTAAAAATGTTGATTTTGTGTGGGTGCTCACAAGAAGCTATGCTCATAAACTAACCTGAAGAAAAAGGAAGGATTGTCAATTGTGTTCAGCACTCCAGATAAGGTACTTGTATTCTTCAACCAACCAACCAGTCAGTTACTAACTAGGAGACTCTGTCTTTTTATTTTTTTATTTTTTAAGTTTTATTAATTTTAATGAACATTTACAGAAATTTTGGGTTTCCATTCATTCATTGTTGCACTATTTTCTGAGACTCTGTCTTAGGAGGACTTCTTGAGGATCAAAGCAGAATGTGTTGTTTAGAGTTTTTAATGGCTGATTCCCTTCTCCTTCTAGAATTGGACAGCTGTCCTTTCTTTAGTCACTTCTAGGTCAACTTAAACATCCATTCTTTCTGTCTGCGGTCAACTAACTGAGCACTTAACTGTGTTTGCACCACTCAGGTAGTTCCTGCCTCAATCTCATTGCTAATGAGTTGAATCTGATTCATAGCAACCCTCCCTCTGGTTTCTGGGGTTATTATGGTTCTTTATAGAAGAAGCTGGCCCATTTTTCTCCTGAACAGTGGCTGGCTGGTAGAGTCAAACTTCAGCCTTTCACTAGCAAATTGATAAATTATGTACTTTGCCACTAAAACGCCTAGGTTTCTACCTTGCTGTTGTTTAGAGCTACTATATTAATCTAGATATTCCAAGTATCAGACACTTCCACATTATTTTCTGATATTTTGCGCACATATTCATATTTATTTAACTCCAGGCCTCTGAGTTGAGGTTCAGATAGTCTTTATGATGCCTTTGATTTGTGATCTTGGAGAAGAATAGCAAATAGACCATGCACTGCCAAAGTAACAAGTAAGTTCGTTTTAGATAAAATACAGCTAGAGTGCTCTTTAGACGTGAGGGTGGTGAGACTTAGTCACATAAACTTTGTGCAGGTTATCCGGAAGGACCATAATGAAGAAAGACCTCGGCACCTAACAAGGACCTCAGATAAATGAAGTAGTTAAAAGTTTTCAGTTGCTAACTAAAAGGTTGGCAATTGAGACCCACGAGCATTCTAGGAGTGGAGAAAAAAGAAAAAAGCAGCCAGCATAAAAATTTACAAAGCATTTCTAAAGGGTCATTTCTTGTTGGACTTTGACTGGAAGGCAATGGTACTATGGCTACGCTCTGAAATGACATTTCGCCTTGAGCGAAGCAACTAAGCAATCACTGTTTTTCCATTAACTCTTTTTCCTGGCTGTTAAACTCAAGGCAAATACTTTAACTTTCTGAGCTTCAGTTTCCTAGTGGAAAGTAAGAACACTAACTTTCATTTTTAAGGTTTGTGTTGTGAGATAAACAAGATAATATAAAGTGGCTGGTACAGTCCTGAATCATAGTAAACACTATTTCGTGCATCTTTCCGTAAAAGACTGTTTTGTTTGGGGTTGGTTTGTTTGTGGTTTTTTTTTTTTTCCCTCTCCCCCTGTACTCAAGCCCCACCGTGAGATCTTCAACAAAACCCTTCCTGTCAGTTGGTTTCAAGTTGTAAATCATAGGAGACTGCTTCTTCCTTTTTCGGAGGAGCAGAGGTGGCTCTCAACTGGCAACGGCGCCACCTTTTGGTTGGTCACCTTTTTGTTAGCAGCACACTATCACACCATTTCCGGGATACGAGACTTCAGTTACAAAGTTAGGGTACCAACAAAGTTGAGAATACCGAGAAAGGAGGGCATGATGCAGAGTAGTGTGAGAGGTCAGAGGAATGCTGTGCAAAGGGGTCTCAAGAAAGGTTCTTGGATGTCGATTTCCACGGCGATTTCAATCGGAGGTACAAGCGTGCACAGAATCCCAGGTTGCCACTGCCTTTCCTGGTTCACTTTTAGCTCCGCCCCCCCCCTCCCGCCGCCTTCCTCGGGAGAGGTTGAAGTCCAATGCTGAGACTGACGCTACTGCGGTTACCTAGAGATAGTTTTCCCAAGATGCCCAGAGAGGCACTGTGTTCCTCTTAGCCAATCAGAGAGGCGGAGGGACCAATGGCCAGCCAATAGGGTACTAGGTTAGAGCCCGGGACGGTTGAACGAGGCTGGAGGCCGGGGTGCACAATCTGGGTGTAGCTGAGACACACCTCTGGTTCCGGGCCACTGTCTGTGCGATTTGGGAACCATAACGCTCGCCGGGCAGAGGACCAAGCCATGCCTTCCCGCGCCGAAGACTATGAGGTGCTGTCCACCATTGGCACCGGCTCCTACGGCCGATGCCACAAGATCCGGAGGAGGAGCGACGGAAAGGTGAGCGCCGGCGCCTCCCACTTTCGCGACCCCTTGCTTGCGGTGGCCTCTACCGCTTGGGTGAATTTCGTAACACCCCTCCAAACCCCCTAGAGAAGTGAGAGACCTAGCGTTGTCTTTTGAGGCTGGGTTCTCGGGACGAGTCAGCAGTCTACCCTAAGTCTGCATTTTGTTTGACATCTTATCTTGAGTTGCTGAAGGCGTGGAGACTGCCTCTGGATACGTTTCCCTCCCTCTCAGATTTCCTTTCTTTTACCTGTTTGATCCGCTTAGAACCCCATGATAAGTAGGCGGCTCAGCTTGATTTTTTGGTGTGTTTTGTTGATGTTGTTTTCTGATTTTTTTTGTTTTATTTAAATTTGTTATTAATTTCAGTAAAAATTTACAGAGACTTTGGATTTCCATTCATTCATTGTTGCACTTTTCTCCCCTCCCAACCCTGCCCCCTAGGACACTATCCTGTTGGAAAAGTAAAAGAAAAATTATTTGTTTTACAAACCCTCCCCCAGGTCCACTCCACTATGCAGCCTCTGCTCTGGACTCCTGTCATGACAAAAATACCTAATCACATATCCCTTTTAAAAAGTTTTCTCCCTGTTTCAATGCAGTATACATTATTGAACCCATCTTTCTCAGTCTCTCCCGAACCCCAAGGTCAGTCCTGTTTTTCAACAGTGGCACCATGCAGTATTTGTCCTTTTGTGACTGAGATACTTTACTCAGCATAATGTCTTGCAGGGTCACCCATTGTGAATAATATTGCATGAGTTCCTTGTTTTTCAATGCAGCATAGTATGCCATTCTGTGAATATACCACAGCTTCTCTATCCATTCTTTTGTTGATGGGCACTTAGGTTGTTTCCAACTCCTTGCTATTGTGAACAAAGCCATGTTAAACATGGGTGTGCATATATCTGCTTGGATGTCATTTATGGTCTCCTTGGGGTATATTCCTAGTAGTGAGATTGCTGGGTCAAAAGTTGTTGTTGTTTTAAGAGAAGAACAATCTTTTCAGACATCAGAAAGGGACAGGACCACCAGAACTTAAATTTTATGTTTTGCGATCACAACTTGTTTACAAGAACCATTATTTTATTAGGTGCCATCAGGTCGACTACAACTCCTAGCGACTCTGTGAACACCAGATCTGAACGTTGCTGTATCCTGTGCCTGCTCAAGCCTGTTGTGGTCCTCACTGTGTCAGTCCATCTCCACCTTGTTGAGGGTCTTCTCTCTTTCACCGACCTTCCCTCCTAAAACTATGCCCCAAGTACCTGAGACGAAATTTAGCCAGCCTTGCCTCTAAGGAATACTCCAGTTGCACTTCCTTCAAGAAAGTTTACTTGTTCTTTTAGCAATTCATGGGATATTCAGTGCTCTTTGCCAGTGCCACGATTCAAAGGCATCAATTCTTCATCTGTTATAATTATTAAATATCAGGTTTTCTGATGTATAGGAGGCAGCTGAAAAGACTGTGGCCTGCATCAGGTGCACCTTGGTCGTTAAACTGACATTCTTGCTCTTTAGCACTTTGGAGAAGTCCTTGACAGCAGATTTCCCCAGTGCAACACTGCTTTTTATTTCATGACTACTATTAACATGGGTGTTGATTGTGGATCCTCGTAAGATTAAATGGTTGACAACATTTTTCTTTTCTCCATATATCATATGGTCGCCTATGGTTCAATTCATGATGTTGAGATGTAATTCATATTAAAAGCTGTAGTCTTTGATCTTCTGCAGTAAGTGCTTCAAATCTTCACTTTCTGTAAACAAAATTGTATTATTTGCATAGTGCAGGTTGTTGATAAGTCTTCCTTCAATCCTAATACCATATTATTCTTCATATAGCCCAGCTTCTTGAATAATTTGTTCAGGATACAGATTGAATAGATGTAAAGAAAGGATTTGGTCCTGACACACAATTTTTCCGATTTTAAGCCATGCAGTGTGTCCTTGTGCGCTTTGAACAACCATTCCTTGGTCTATGTATAGATTTAGTATGAGCACACTTAGGTGTTCTGGGATTCCCATTCTTCTCAATGTTATCCTTAATTTGTTATACACACAGTCACATGCCTTTACATAATCAATAAAACATAAATAAACATCTCCCTGCTATTCTTTGCTTTCAGCCAGGATCCATCTGACATCAGCAATGATATCCCTGGTGCCATGGCCTCTTCTAAATCCAGCTTGAATTGCTGTCAATGTATTGTTCCAGTCATTTTGTAATAATTTTCAGATGATTTAGCTTGAGTGTGATTTTAATGTTCTTGTTCAATAATTTCCACATGCTGTTAGATCACCTTTTTTGGGAATGGGAACAAATATGCATCTCATCCAGTCAATTGGCCTAGTAGCTGTCTTCCATATTTGTTGACAGAGACTGGGATCACATCTAGGGTGGCATTGGCTTCCTGAAATATGTCAGTTGTTATTCTATCAATACTTGGGACTTTTTTTTTTTTGCCAGTGCTTTCAGTGCAGCTTGGAACGTCTGCCTTCAGTACTGTTGTTTCTTGATTGTACTTCCTAAAATGGTTCAGAGTTGACCAATTCTTTTTGATACCGTGATTTTTCATTATCTTTAAGTGTTTTCTGTATCATTCAGGATTTTACCCATAGGATCCTTCAGTATTGCAACTTGAGTCTTGAATTTGTTTTTCAGTTCTCTCAGTTTGTCAAATGCCAAGCATATTCTTCCCTTTTGGTTTTCTAACTCCAGATCCTTGCACATTTCATTATAGTTTTGTGCTTTGTCTTCTTTAGTTGCCCTTTGAAATCTTATGTTTGTCTCTCTTACCTCAACATTCCTTCCTTTTGTTTTGGCTTCTTTTCATTCCAATGCAAGTTTCAGACCCATTTTTGGTATTACTGTATTCAATGTGTATAGGAACACCTTTCACAGGAAGAAGGTGCATTGATTTGCTGATTATTAGATGGGTATTTGCAAAGGTCTTTCCCATTTGGGAAAGCTTGGATGTTGAAATTGCACATGGCTTTCCCCCTTTATTTCCCTGTTATTGTTGTTGATTGCTTTTGAGTTGAGCACCTTATAGTGACCCAGTGGACAAAAGGCCTGAAGCCTTTCTGTAATTAACATCATTTCTCCAAGTTCAAAGAGTTTCCTGAGGCATGTAGTTTAGAAAGTGGATACCACTCCCGCTTCCAAACCTGCCTTAAACTGGGAGATCCAAAAAACACTTTCTACCCTGGGTAACAGTAACAGCATTTGACACCCCAGTGGCACAGAGTCCAGTATCACAACAAACCCAGATTACCTCAGTACAGAAAATTGACTGAAGAGTGATGTACGACTTAGAAGAATGTTCCTCCAAATTATCCAAGATGTCTTGTTGACACTAAACAGGATGCTTAAATCACAAAACAGCCAGACATTCCACCTGACCCTCAATCAGAACAAGTACTCCCATCTTACAGATTCCTGCCATGTCACCCAGTCACTCTTCATTTCCTTAGCTTTATTAATTATATCCTTTTTGCAGTCTATATACAACTTAGGCTGTGGAAGTGGTGGAAGCGTACTAATATACTTCTCTTTCCCCCCAAACATTGTGTGCTGCTTACAAATGAGAGAAAGATTTTGTAAGTAAACTCTGGGCTTCTGAAGTATTTTTAACTAGATTATATAATAACCTTGATTGTAGGACATATTAAATAAAGAGGTAAATTTCTTTATATTGAGTTCATTCCTTTTTATTTTTTTTTTCAAGTTAATGCTTATCTTGGAATTCTTATTTCAGATATTAGTTTGGAAAGAACTTGATTATGGCTCCATGACAGAGGCTGAGAAACAAATGCTTGTTTCTGAAGTGAATTTGCTTCGAGAACTGAAACATCCAAACATTGTCCGCTACTATGATCGAATTATTGACCGGACAAACACAACGCTATATATTGTGATGGAATATTGTGAAGGAGGGGACCTAGCTAGTGTAATTACAAAGGGAACTAAAGAAAGGTATGTAACCTTTTAAATGTAAGGTGGAAGTGCTCTTATATTTGTTTGGTGGGGGTCATTGTACTTTCCAAGATTCCTAGTGAATCAGTGTTTACAGGTTCATAATTACCAAAATAATAATTTTTCTTCCTATTTGAATATTGAAACACTAGCAAATTCTCATTGTCACATCTTTGGATTGTGTTTGGAAGTTTCATGTTATATCACTGCCTTGGTTTCAGACAATACTTAGATGAAGGGTTTATTCTCCGAGTGATGACTCAGTTGACTCTGGCCCTGAAGGAGTGTCATAGGCGAAGTGATGGAGGCCATACCGTTCTGCATCGGGACCTGAAACCAGCCAATGTTTTCCTGGATGGCAAACAAAATGTCAAGCTTGGAGACTTTGGACTAGCTAGAATATTAAATCACGATACGAGCTTTGCAAAAACATTTGTTGGTACACCGTATTACATGTCTCCAGTAAGTATTCGAGAATTTGAAAAAGTCTTTTAACATCTTAATGCAAAGCACTCAAAAGCAAGGAAATTGCGTTTTCTACTTGTTTAGTTATATTCAGTTGCTAAGAACTATTAATATAATTTCATTTAAAATTGCTATTTTTCCCAAATGAATTGAAAATACCATATTACTAAACTGTTTTATATCACTTAAGCTTTTATTGACTATCATGAGATTACCAAAATGAAATGGACTTTGTTGCTATCTTCAAGAGCAGTTTTTTCTAAATATGGACCTTGGACAGTCATCTTAGATTTACTTTTAAAGTGCAGGCTCCTGAACTCCAAATGCCCATCAAAGGTTAGAACCCCCCCGGCAGGTCTTGGGCCTCAGCTTTCTTTCTTTTTTTTTTTTAAAAAAAAACAACCCACGTTTTTAGTTTAGATTGGTCAAGTCACCTGTAATAAAGTCTATTTCATTTTGGCAAGAATGTTGAATATACCGTGGACTGCTAGGAGAACAAACAAGTTTGTCCTAGAGAGGGTGAGACTAGGCTGCTCCTTGGAGGAAAGAATTCTGAAGCTTCGTCTGTCTTACTTTGGACATGTTGCAAGGAGGGACCAGTCCTTGGAGAGGGACATCATACTTGGAAGGGTGGAGGGACAGCTCAGGAGAGGAAGACCTTTGATGAGATTGATTGATTCAGTGACTGAGATAACGGGGATAGGTGTGTCAGTAAGATTGGCACAGGATAGAGCAGGGTTGTAGATGGAGTTACTATGAGTTGCCGGCAACTCAGTGGCACATAACAACAACAGTCTTCTGATAGTAAAAGCTTGAATTGAATGAATGATAGACTGCATTGTAACAAATTCTCTAGATGATTCTTGTGCATGGATAAAGAGGCTCAATTCAGAGAACATGTTTAAAGTGTTAACTTTTTGTGCACATTCCTTTTGTTGCCTTCTCTCTTTTTTTAAATTATTATTAAATTTTATTAGTTTTAATGAACATTTACAGAGATTTTGGGTTTTCATTCATTCACTGTTGCACCGTTTTCTCCATCCCCCTCCCCAGTTCGTTTCTCTTCCCCCCCGAATGTCTGTTTTAATTGTCCAATTGCCACAGTGCTTGTCAAAGCCAGTTCTGATTAATCTCCTTTGTCAGTGTGTCCTTTGCCATTCCCTATCACTCCTCCCTGAGAGAGACTTCACCCTGATTCATAAGGAAAAGGGGATGGTGTATTCTCTTAGCTACTTCCTGCTGAAAAGGGATGCTGTGGGTTTCAGGGTGAAGATCTTCTCTCACTAAAGGGCCCCTTTGGTAGTAGGAAACACATAGACTATTATGGAGATTGATTTTGGAATTTAGATGCACTGTTATCAATTGTGCTTAGCCGTACATGTTCATATCCTTGAAGATGTATCATGGAAGTGTTGCAGCCTAGAAGATACAAATTTAACTAACAAGTTAAAAGTGCATGAGTCAAAAATTGAAAAGCAATAATTGCCTTCTCTTTTAAATGTATCTACAGAGTCACTTATCTATTTCCTCTATGACTTTTTCTAAAATTTCTCACCATATTAGGGAGCATAGCAACAAGAATCTTTATAGAACTATTCTGTGTTTCTTTTTATTTTCTTGGCACTTAGCTTTCAACATTAAATTAGTGGGTAAAAAATTATGAATAGTTTATGACTCTCTATGGGTATTAGAACACATGGGTATTAGAGGGTGCTCTGGTGGCCTTATGGTAAGAACCTATGCAGCAATCCCAAAGGCATGCTGTTTGAAGCCACCAGCCGCTCCATGGGAGAAGGGTTGGCAGTTTCCTCCTATAATATTATTTGCCTCTGAAAGCCTTCCAGAGGGTCAGCTATGAGGCAGTTCCTACTTGACAGCACACAGCAACGACATGGGTATTTCCAAACAGCTTTATTAAAATTTGAAAAAAGAACTTTCCCATCAAATATATTTACTCCCTCACTCACTCACTGCCATCAAGTCAGTTCTGAATCTTCATGACTCATTGGATTTCTGAGTTTGTAAATTGCAGTAGAAGGAGATTACCCATCTTTCTCCCATGAAGCACTGGGGGATTAAAATTGCTGGAGATATATGCCCCTTTGGTTAGCAGCGCAACATACTGCAGACTAGACCACCAGAGCCTCTATGTTAAGATATAAAATTGGAACAAAAAAGTTGAAGACATATTTTAATGCTTAATTTTTTTTAGTAATTCACAAACATGTCTAGGGTTTTCCAAGTCCTTTTCCGTTATGCTAATAGAACTGAGTACAAATACAGAACTCTGTAAATTAACAGATTTGGTTTTGACCAAGATTAGGCATGGCCAGATCAGTGTCATTTTCTCATCGGTTCAAATTCCAGATAGAAGGCCTTTAACATAAGGGAAGCCCATCTAGAAGTGATTTGACACCTGCACCATTTGTTTTCTTTCCCTCCTGCCCTGGTAATTAGATCCGTTCAGCCATCCCTAAGGCCTTGGTTATTGGAAATGATATCAGACTCACTTGTTGGACTTTAAACCACTAATCAGCTGCCTGGAGATTTAGTGCTTGCCTCAGTGCATCTATTGAGAAGAACAATGATAGACTGTTGTATGGTAATAACAGTGTAACTAAGTGGGGGAAATGCAGATAATGAAAGGAGTGAGAATATTAGTTACTGCTGTGATGAGTATGATGGACTAAGGGGGAAAATAGAAATGCATCATCCAATTAGCCATTTATAGCTAAATATCTGTGTTCATTAGGTTGGAATTTTCTCTGGCTGCTTTAAAATGAAGTCTCTTGATTCTGGATGTCTGGAGGGTATATGCCTTTCATTCTCACTTTTGAGTTCCCAGTGTCTAGCCGATAAACCAAACCAGAGCAGACCTACTGCTAGCATGTAATTTTGACTCTCCATTGGTTTCCAAGGTTGTAAGTCTTTATTGGAGGAGATTGCACATCCTTCTCCTGCAGAGCGAATGGTGGATTTGAACTGCCTGTCTTTTGGTTAGCGACTGGACATGTTACTCTCGCCACAAGTCCCATTGTAACTACCTCATGATAGATACTTAATAGCTATTTCTGAAGGAATTATGTGTGGCAGAGCATATCAAGACAAGATTATTGCTTTTTCTTCAGTGTTAAATTTGAAGCTAAAACTTTTATCATTATGATGCAGTAGCACATGCAACCTTAGTCAGTCTTTTGTATTTTAAATTTTTTATACAGGTGTAAAATATTTATAATATATCACTATAAATATGTCACATGTTAAATATATGATATATATTTTATATATAAAAAGACAACTTGTCAAATTGTAATTGACTCATAGCTGATCCTACTGCGTGTTTTCTGAGGCTGTAAATAGCACAGGAGGAGAGGGCCTATCTTTCTCCGATGAAATGATTGGTGAATTTGAGCTGCCAGAGAGACTTTGAGTTATCAGTGCAACTTCGTAGAGCTCCCTTGTTTATATATAAACATATATAAAATACAAATATGTATTTTTTTGAGTAAATGTATCACTCCTTGCAGTTCATTTTGTTTCAGGGGTATTTTATAGATTTTTGAACCAAAATTAACTCCTCATACTTGTTCTTTTTCTTGCTCAGGAACAAATCAATCGTATGTCCTACAATGAGAAATCAGATATCTGGTCACTGGGTTGTTTGCTGTATGAATTGTGTGCACTAATGTAAGTATGATGAAGATAAATTCCTAACCCCTGGGTTAAATATCCCTTTCCCTGAGCTCAGCGTGAGCATCCCTGCTAAGGAAAAGATGTTTAAGTCTGAAAGAGTTGTAATTTGGGTTAAAATTAAGGTAGATTTGCAGGTTTAAAAAAAAATGAAAAATTAAAGAAGCCCAAAGTAGATTTTATTGTGATTTGAGTGAAAGTTTACAAAGGAAGTTTATTTTTCTATTCAGCAATCCATATGCATTATGTTCTGTTATGTTGATTATAATCCCAACATTGTTGTTGGGGTTATTTTTTGTTTTTTTTGTTAAGATTATTTTATTTTGTGATCACATTTGTCACAAATCTGAGCTTTGCTCAGTTGTTGTGATTTATAGAGAGTTCTCTGCAGTTCCTTACACAGTTGAAGCTTTTGATAGGTAGGGTAATTGGGTGGGTTTGTGACTTTCACTGCTATAAAATGTTAGAATTGCAGAAGTTGTTTTGGGTTTGTTTTTTTTTTCTTTTCTTTTCCCCCCTAGGCATCAGGAAATTAATTATGAAAGAAATTGCTGATTTTTTGTTTTGTTTTGTTTGTTGTTGTTCAAAGAAAAGTACCTGGGTGAAGGAGAGAGGTCAGAGCTTGACTGTCATTTATTCCTCAGATATCACCCTCAAGTATTTCCTTGTTGTGATATTTAGATATCTCAATCTCTGCTTTCAGCTCTGTATCTTTTTTTTCCTTTTCCTACTAGTTTATTTACACAAGAACAAATTCTTTAAATTTCCCTCACCCCCTCACCCATCAAATTGTACAACCCCATGATTAATCCTCACCTTCTCCTGCACATCCTCATCCCTCTGCTTCCAGCCTCTCCCACCTCTTCTGGATCCTTATACTCATTCTACAATAATGGTTTTATCAATATTTATCCTTGTGGGACAGAGTTAGTTCACTCAGCATAATGCTCTCCAGTCTCTCCCAAGTTAGGTAATAATTTACAAAGTCATTGCTCCTGTGTGCTGCGTAGTATTCCATCGTATGAATGCACCATAATTTCTCAATCCATTCTTTTGTGGTTAGACATCTGGGCTTTTTTCATGTTCTTGCAATGGTAATACTGCTATGAATATTGGTGTACAAATCTCCATTTGTGCCTCAGTTCTCGTTTTCTCAGGGTATATTTCCAAGTAGTGAAATAGGTGGGTCACATGGACTTTTATTTTCAGCTTTTTGAGGAAGCGCCAAACTGCCTTCCAGAATGGTTGTACCATTTTACAATCCCACCAACAATGTGTAAGAGTTCCTTTCTCACCTCATCCTCTCCAATATCATTACTTGCTCCCTGTTAAACTTTGCCTCTCTTACTGGAGTGAGATGGTACCTCATTATGGTTTTGATTTGCATCTTTCTTATTGCCAATGATTTGGAACATTTCTCCATGTGTCTGTTTGCCATTTGAATATCTTCCTCTGTGAACATTCTTTCCATGTCTTTTGCCCATTTTGTAATTGGGTTATCAGTCTTTTTCTTGTGGAGGCCCAGAAGTATTCTGTAAACTTGTTATAAGACTCTTGTCTGAGATGGTATTACCGAATGTTTGTTCCCTGTCTGTAGATTTTTCTTTTCGCCTGGTTGGAAAATGTTTCTGATGCACACTTGGATTTAATCTTTAGAAGGTCCAATGCATCAATTTTATCCTCTTTAGATTGTACATTTCTGGCTGTATTTGGCAGTCTCTCTACACCTTGGGCTAGCAATTCTAAGCTTGATCCTAGTTTGTCTCTTGTGAAGCTTTACTACCAGGTCTCTGATCCACCTTGAGTTGATTTTTGTGTATGGTGTGAGATTTGGATCCTGTTTCAACTTTCTGCAGGTGGATGTCCAGTTTTGCCAGCACCATTTGTTGAACAGTCCCAACATTATGATAGCACTCTTCCTACATCCTCCCTGAATTTCCTATTTCTCTTTATCTTTTCCTGCCTTCTGAGCTTTAGTCTTGGGAAAACACTGCCATTTGGGGTCTTGTATAGTTGCTTGTTCTAAGTACTGCATTTCTCTGGTGATTATTCTAAGTGGTGCATTCCTCGCCTTCCAGGCTGATCTGTATTTTTTGGTTGGCAGTTGAGCCACAGGGCTGATTTCAGTTTCAGGCTTAAAGAGTGAGTAAGGGCCAAAGTCTTATACGTTCTAGGTCTTTTTATTTTTAGTTTGTTCCCCACTTTTCTTCCATTGTATCTTGGACCTTCTATTATGCTCCCTTTTAAAGCAATCAGCAGTAGAAGCCAAGCACTAATTCTTCTAGTCCCAGGTTGCGGAAAGTTACAGGGTTCATTAGTCCTGTGGACTATTATTTTTAGTCTTTAATTTTCTTCATCTTCTTTGCTGTCAATGGGAAGAGACCAGTAATTGTACTTTAGATGACTGCTTGCAGGCTTTTAAGTTCCCCATTGCTACTCAGCTAGCTAGGATATAGAGCCCTGTAAGGATTGATTTTGATATCCCTGTTCAGCACGTTCTTGCAGGATATTTGGTTTTGGCAAGAAGATTTCATTACTTGGTCCCCTTGAATCTTCAAGCTACTTGACTCGTTAGATGCTTCTGATGCTTGTGTTGTTGTTGTTATGTGCCATTGAGTCGCTTGTGACTCATAGCGACCTTATGTACAACAGCCCTAAACCCTGCTCTGTCCTGCTCTGTCCTGTGCCAATCACACTGTCTCTGATACACTCATCCTGATCACCCCACTCACTGAATCAATCCACTTCATAGAGGGCCTTCCCCTCCTGCGCTGTCCCTCCACCCTACCAACCATGATGTCCTTCTCCAAGGACCGGTCCCTCTTTACATGTCCAAAGTATGTTAGAGAGAGCCTCAGAATCCTTGCCTCCAAGGAGCCACCTGGTTTAACCCTTTCCAGAATGAATCTGTTTTCCTAACAGTCCCTCAATACTCTTCTCCAGCACCACAGCTCAGAGACATCAATTCTCCTTCTAGCATCCCTAGTCATTGTCCAACTCTGATGCCTAACAAGTGATAGCAAAGACCGTGGTCTGTATCAGATGCACCTTAGTCTCCAGAGAGACACCATTGCTCTTCAGTACTTTGGAGAGGTCCCTAACAGCAGACTTTCCCATGGCAATGCGCCTTTTAATTTCCTGGCTGCTGGTGCCAAGACTGTTGACTACAGAGCCAAGCAAACTAAAGCTGTGTACAATCTCAATCTCTTCACCATCCATCCTGATGCTGTCAATTGGTCCAGTGGTGAGAATCAAGAAGAAAGGACTGATGCTTAGATTTAATAATATTTGGAGACATCACTACTTGTCACAACTGGAGAGTGCTACTGGCATCTAGTGGAGAGAGGTCAGGATGCCGCTAAACATTCCATAATGGACAGCTAACCCTCATAACAACAACAACAACAGCAAAAGTATAAGGAGCTGTGTCAGTAGTTGAAAAATCTACTCGGAGGGGGATATCCTGGAAGTAGAAGTATAAACTCGAATTTAAATTGTGTTTTTTATTGGTTTCTAGTATATACTTAAATTTTACTAAAAAACCCCCCACCCTCCGCCCCTGCCCCAGGCCTCCATTTACAGCTTTTAACCAAAAAGAACTGGCTGTGAAGATCAGAGAAGGCAAATTCAGGCGAATCCCATATCGTTACTCTGATGAGTTGAATGACATTATTACGAGGATGCTGAATTTAAAGGTAAACGAGTATGACATTACATATTGTCCGTTTCTTTCAGTTAAATTTTTATATTTATCTCTCTTCTATAGCCATGGAGACAAGAAATATTAACTATTTCCTTAGCTAAATCGACTTTGTGAATAGAACCAAACCCATTACCATTGAGTTGACTCCAACTCCCAGCAACCCTTTGGGACAGAACAGAACTGCCTTGTAGGTTTTCTGAGACCAACCTACACTGAAGCCCACTGTGTTCCTCCTGCAGACTGACAGTGGGGCAAACCACCTTTGGTTAACAGCTGAGCGCTTAACCACTGTGCCAGGGTGCCTTAACCTAAGTGATGAAAACATATGTACATTTGGCAGATTGCACATCCTAACTGCCTACCTTCTGTGCTTTTCTTTGCTTTTCTTTATTTCCCCTCCTACTCTCTGCCTTGCTAGCAGATGGTTGATAACAAGAAAGACTGTGGAAAGACTCCAAATGCTCAGTTCTTCTTGTTCTTGCCTAGCTCACAGTGGCAGATGGCCAAAGGAGAGGACCAGAAATAAGTCTATGTTACTCTGCCTCTAGATCTGAGAAGTTAGAGACCAGTAGAAGAGGAGTCATTTGAAGTGGGGGGGGGGGAGGGGATGGATTTTTAATGAGATTAATTACATGGAAAAGATTTCATAATGGGATGGAGAGGAAGATGTTTTGGGGAATCAGGCTGATGTTAAAAGGGCAGAAAATGCTGTAGAATCATAACAGTGGATATGGATATGAGTAACAAGATTAAAAATCAGGCAGAAAATATCTTGCTTACTGTAGCTTAGAGATGTAGGGAAATACCCAGTACCAGCTGCCTTTGAATTGATGCTGACTTCTGGAGACCACATGTGTGTTGTGTTCGAGTAGAACTGAGCTCTGTAGAGTTATCAGTGGCTGATTTAGTGGAAGTTGATCACTACCTTTCTTCCAAGGAACCTCTGGACTGAAGCCTCCAGTCTTTCACTTAGCAGCCAAATGTGTTAACTGTTGATACAACCCAGGGACTTCTTTCCCTAAAACAGACCTCTCTGCCGCACCAGCAAGATAGCCCGAAGTATTTAGCGTTTAAGCCCTCCTAGTAAGTTTAAAAGGTGAAAGAGGGAAAAGTATGTAATATCTGGATGATCTTGTGAACCCAGGCTCATGAGTTTGAGCCACCATTAGCTTATTTTTCCTAATACTTGACTCACCCACAGAAGAATCCTCTTGGAAATTTGTTGTTTTCAAAACAGTTAATTGCACCGGAGGAGATTGCCCATTCTTCTCCTGTGGAGCAGCTAGTGGCCTCAAATGGTATCCGTTTGGGGTTGCAGCCCAGCTTTTTGGCTTTTTATTTTGTCTTTTTTTTAAATGAAATTTTTGTTTTATACTGGTTTACTTACAAAGTTCGCATTCATTGTTTTTCACACTAGTAGTATACCATTTCCTTTACCCACCCATCCCTGTACCCATCAAATTGTATGATCCTATGATTACCCCCCTGCCCATCCTCACCCCTCTGCTCCTTCCCTCCCAGACCCAGCTTCTTGCCACTAGGCCACCAGAGCTCCATCTTGGAAGTATGTGCCCCATTTAATGTAACTGCTCTCTTAGGATGAGCATTCTATTTTAAACTCTGGCTTTAATTTGGAATCTTTTTTTCCCCAGGATTACCATCGACCTTCTGTTGAAGAAATTCTTGAAAACCCTTTGATAGCAGATTTGGTTGCAGAAGAGCAAAGAAAAAACTCTGAGAGAAGAGTGAGGCGATCAGGAGAGTCTGAAAAGTTGCAGGATTCCAGCCCTGTTATGAGTGAGCTGAAACTGAAGGAGCTGCAGTTACAGGAACGAGAACGCGCCCTCAAAGCAAGAGAAGAAAGATTGGAGCGTAAGTCACAGTGGGGTTGAGGCAAAGAGGACCCGCAGGAGGGTTATTTGGATGTGTGTGAGTACTCAAGGGGAACTCTGGTGGCCTAGTGGTTAGAAGCTGCACTGTAATCCTGGAAGCACGTAGTTCCAATCCACCAGCTTCGTTTCTCCGTGGGAGAAGAACGGGGAGTCTCCTTCCATGTGATATACTGCGTCTGAAAGGAGGGTCAGCTATGGGTTAGTTCTGACTCCAGGGCACACAGGAAAAAGTAGTCAAAGCAGATGTTTTCATGTGTACTAATAGAAGGGTTTGGGGGTGTTTTTGTTTGCTTGTTTGTTTTTAAGAATGTTTTTATAAATACTTGAAACACTAAAGTAAGTGCCGTACACTCTGTCACCAAAGCTACTGGCTCCTTTTTGCTTGACTTCTTTCTCTGAGGTCTTCTATCGTCGTTAGATCGTTGGGTACTAGTCATAATGGCCCTCACATACACCATTTTACTTCCTAAAGTTTTTCCATTGTAAAAAAGGTCTTGGAATTTACTGCCTTCCATGATAAAAACCATTATTTCTGCCTTCTGAAATGGCTACTCCAACACTATTCTAGGTCCAAATCCTGTGTAAGATAGTTTCAGGGAGTTCAGCAGAAAAAAATGGATACAAGATACTGTAGGTTGATAAATGATACTCTGATGGCATTAATGTTGATGTGCTGAGTATGAACTGAGTTGGGCTAACTAGTTTGATGGTGACAGTCTGTCTACCTCACCTCAGTTAGAGCTGCTACTAAGGTTTATTTTCACGGTAGTGAGTGGGGAGGTTCTTCGTTTTGAAATGGCTGTGTTTCCTGCCACCTCATAGCTCTCCTGATTCCATTGTTGCAGCTTTGGGCAGACTTTATACACAATTTTGTATTTAATAATCTGATTCTGTTTTTAGGTGCAAGTTTACACAACAAAATAGGTTCCTTTTTAACACCTTTTATACGGATTGTTTTGTGCCATTGGTTACCATTTTCCCGTTGTGTCAGCATCCTCATTTCCTTTATTCTGTTTCTGTTGATCTCTGTCCTTCTCCCCCCAGGCCACCCAACCTTCTTATCTTTACTTTTGTGTAAATGCTAACAGGTATCCTTCAGATTAAGGGTGTCATAAGTCAGTCTGTTGTTTGTATGGTGACCTCCAGAAATAGCTTCAATTCCAAGGTCAAAGTTTATCTTAGAGTGATAGCCTTAGTCTCTTATCAGTCCTTTTGGTCTGACTCTTTTAGGAATTTGAATTTGGTTGGATAGTTTTATCTCATTTTGTGCTGGGCCGGCTATGTGTCCCTGGGCAGGGCAGCATCCTGTTCTATACAGTCTCAGACTTGTAGAGTCTATGATTCGGGTGGGCTTTTGGTCCTGTGGGATAGATTGTTTGAGTCTTTGGTTCCCTTCAGTCTCTCTTGCTACAGAGCAGCGAAGAAATAGTTGCATTTTAGTTGGCCACCTTAGAAACTTTTAAGAGCTTGAATGCTACTCACCAAACTAGGATGTATAATTTACATACTTAAATATGCCTTTAGAGAGTTAATACTTTCCTTTGTAATGACTGACAGTTAAATATTGTGTAGTACGGACAGTGACTAGGATGACAGAAGAATTGATGCCTTCGAGCTATGTTGTTGGAGTTCTGTTTTGACTGTCCCATGGACTGCCAAAAGAACAAACAAATCTGTCTTTGAGGAAGTGCAGAGTGCTCCTTGGAGGCAAAGATGCTGAATCATCTCATATACTTTGGGCATACTGCTAGGAGAGGCTATTCTTAGGAGAGGGACATGATATGTGGAAAGGTGGAGGCTTGGTGAAAGAGAGGAAGACCCTCAGTCAGGTGGATTGACACAGCGACTGCCACAATGGGTTCTAGTATGTCAGGAAGTGTGACGATGGCACAGGATAGGACAGGGTTCAGATCTGTTGTTCACAGGATCGCTGTGGGTCATAGTGGACTCAGTGGCACCGAACAACAACATCATTGTAATATATGCTTACCATACAGCAAGCTTATTTTGAAATGCTTAACTCTTTTGTCAAAAGATTTTGTGTCTAGAGAGCAGAATACAGGACATAGAGGAACAAGGCCACGAGTGTTTCTGAAAGAGCCAGAGGGAGTGAGACTAGCACAGCCCCTCATTGCCCCAGAGTAGAAAGCAGATGATGGGCTATGGGCTGCTTTTTTTTAAAAATTCATTTTAATGAAAGTTTACAGAGAGTTAGGATTTCCAGTCATTCATTGTTGCACTTTTCTCCCTGCCTACCTCCCCCCTTCCCCCAGTCACTCTTCTCCTTGTAAAGAAAAAGAAAAACTCTTTCATTGTTATGCAATCCCTCCCCCCAAGCCCATTCCACTGTGCAGCCTTCACTCTGGACTTCTGTAATGACAAAAATACCCATTCATATATGCCTTTTTAAACAGCTCTCTCCCTCATCTGTTTCAATGCAGTATACATCATTCATCCCCTCCTTTTCTGTCTTCCATTAACCCTGATGTCAGTCCCATTTTACAACAGTGGCACTACGCAATATTTGTCCTTTTGTGACTAAGATATTTCACTCAGCATAATGTCCTCCAGGGTCACCCATTTTGTATAATATTTCATGAGTTCCTTGTTTTTCAATGCTACATAGTATTCCATTGTGTGAATATACCACAGCTTCGCTATCCATTCGTTTGGGCTATGGGCTTTTTATCTGTTTTCTGCTCTGAGTCATTGAGGAGCTGTGCTATTCTCACTCTCTCTGGCCCTTTCAGAGATGCTCACACCCCTGTGACTCCATGTCCTGTTTTCCATTCTTTTGACAATAAACAACACAGTAAAACTTGTTCTTAAAACTTTTCTCAGCATTTTGTAATTTCTGATAGCACCCCAAATTGGAATGCTTTCTGAATTCTGGGCCATGAAGAAATGATAGTCTTACTTCTACATCTAAAGAACTACCTCTGGGCTGACGATGGTATCTTTCTATTTGAGTGCTTTCATTCAAGTAGAAGGACAGCTTGTATGTGAGGCTCAGTGAGGCCCTGGAAATGAACTGTTGTCTGTTTTCAGCAGAGATGGCTTTAGTGTTTGCTTTTTGAACATGATCAAAGGTTGGAGTTAATTCTGTAGTGGTGTGTAGAACAGCCCTTACAGGGTAGCATAAGAAATATAGTGAAATCTTAAATTCAGGGCTAGCACAATTAGGTCCAACAAGTATCAAATAGAAACTGTTCATATGTTACTACTCTCAGGCATGAGTAGACAGCGAGGTCAGATTACCAAGTATAAGTTATATTTACCCCAAATCGCTTGTTCACTTCTTTCATTTTTCATTTTCTTAAAAGAGAAGGAACGTGAGCTGTGCATTCGTGAGAGACTTGCAGAGGATAAACTGGCAAGAGCGGAAAGTCTGTTGAAGAATTACAGCCTGCTGAAGGAGCAGAAACTCTTGTCTCTGGCAAGTCATTCAGGTATGAGAAGCAACTCGACAGGAACTAGTGCCACAAAGGAGCCGCACACACCTGTTGCTCTGACAATATCGGTGGTAGATCTTTTGATTTACAAGTTCTCAAATTTTTAGATGGATTTCCTTGAATGTGTGCTGTGTACCATTGAGTTGGAACTGACTCATATCTGACCCTCCTGGAGGTTCTCAGAAACAATAAAGGGCATTTTAAGGAGATTGCCCATCTATATTCTGCAAAGCAGCTGGTGGATTCAAACCATGTGCCTCTGGGTTGACAGTGCTATTCCTTACCGCTAGGCCACCAGAGCTCCCTATTCATAAAATACATGTACTTAACTGGAAATAAGAGTTTATTTACTTGATTCATAGATCTGCAGCCATAAGTCTTCATAAGTTCTGCTTTGGTTTTATTAGCCTTGTTAAATCTACATACTTAAGTATTTAATTTTTTTATAAATTAGAGCATTTCCAAAGTACCATGAATTCCAAATTTCTCCCCCTCTGGTTATGTTATCAAAATAAGATATTGTGAGGTTCATTTTTCAAGCAAAAGTTCTAGCATGTTAATAGTTACTCCTACATGGACAGTGTGACTCGGAAGGTGTGCAGCGCTGGCCAGCGTGTTAGCTTGGATGAGAGTGAGAGTCCTGACCAAAGGACTGACCTCTTGGCAGAACTCCACATAGGAAACTCAATTCAGTTAGACAGTCCCATTCAGTCATGGAATAATGTGAATCAGTGAAGCATCCAATGGAGACTTCATGTCATCAGAGCTCAGAGGTCCTTGGGAAGACAGACAAATAATTACAGTCGAGCTAAGGTAAGGTAGTGGAGTGATTACGAGCATAGGCTTTAAAGGCCTTAGACTCAGGGCAGATCCTAGCTCTACTGGCCTCAGTTTTGTCACCTGTGAAGTGAAAATGAAATCATTTACTTCCTAGCAGAGTTTGAAGAGTGAGTGAAGGACTGAACAGAAAGTCCTTAGCACTGCGCCAAGCATACAGTAAATGTTAATAAACTGTCACAGTTATTCCCAGGTACCATCCATAAAACTGCTCTAAGTGGGTGGGAGATCGGGGACGTTTCAGAGAAGAACAGATAGGAGAAACCAGGTAGAATGCCATCAAGGGCATTCCAGGTCAAGAGGAAACAGAAACGTAGGTGCAAGGGAATCCTGGTGAAGGAGGGACCAGTGTTTTTAGGGGTGAGGTTGGGAGGTAGGGAAATTGGCAGGGCTGTCATGCTTGATCTCATGCCTCTTGTATCAAATGTAACTAGTATGTTGTTATGTGCTGTCGAGTTGCCTGTGACTCACAACAACCCTATATATAACAACCCTACACCCTTCTCTATCCTGTGCCAATCTTACTGTCTCTGACACAGCTACCCCCATGACCCCAGTGACTGAATCAATCCATCTTTAAGTCCTGTTCAAGCTGATAAAAGTATTTGTCAGGATTTGAATTGTGCAGTATCTACACCTGCTTTGTGTGTTTCCATCTTCCTCAGAATCCTGTGTGTACGCATGTACCTTTCCTGTGCTTTGTGTGTGCATAGTCCCACCACTGCTCTAGTCAGGTGTGCTGTGCAGTGACTCAGTGTCTAACATACCTTCTCCATTACACAGAAACCCTAAGTCTAATTTCATCTCATCCATCTTGAAGAGCATGAAAAATGCAAATTGTTAACACTCGTTTTCTATTGATTCCTTTATGACAAATGATTATTTAAACACTTTTTGTTGGTTTCAGCCATTGAGTATTTGACCTTTCAATAACATTTAGCCAGAGTTCTTGTGACTCTCATGTAGGCAAGGCTTCTCATTGAGCTGTCATTTTCATCTCAAATACGTTGAAAAGATCTGGTCACATCCATGATTATGACAGCATTTTGTAAATGGAACTGACAAAAAGAAATTGCATCAGTGGTTTGATTTCTAATGACTTAATACCAGAAGAATGTCTATCTGTGTTTCATTGACTATGCAAAGGAATTTGACTGTGGATCACAGCAAATTATGGCTGACTCTGAGAAGAATGAGAATCCCAGAACATTTGATTGTGCTTCTGTAAAACCTGTACTTCGATCAGGGGACAGTTGTCAGAACAGGGCAAGAAAACACTGCATGATTCTAAATCAGGAAAGGTATATACCAAGGATGCGTCCTATTCATACCTTTTCAGTTTATATGGAGAATAAATCATCTAGGAGGCTGGGCTCTAGGAGGAATGTGACTTCAGGATTGGAGGATTACTCATTAACCACCTGCATTATCCAGATGACACAACCATGCTTGTGACCTGACTGCAGCCTTCAATGTGAATTGAAGCTCAACTTCAAGAAAACAAAGATTCTCACCACTAGGCCGATTGGCAGCATCATGATAGGTAGTGAAAGAGATTGAGATTGTTAAAAGCTTCTGCTTGCTTGGCTCCACAATCAACACTCTTGGTACCAGCAGCCAGGAAATCAAAAGACAAATTGCATTAGGGAAATCTGCTGTGAGGAACCTCTCCAGAGTCCTGGAGAGCAAGATGTCAGTCTGGAGACTAAGGTGCTCCTGATACAAGCCATGGTCTTCGTGGTTAATTGCTGTTGCATCAGAAAGCTGGACAATGAATGATTAAGGATGACAGAAAGAGAATTGATGCCTTTGAGCTGTGGTGCTGGAGAGAAGTTCTGAATAGAGCATGGATTGCTAGGAGAATAAGCAGGTTCGTCCTGGAGAGGGTGAAACCGGGTTGCTCCTGAAGCTCTTTCTTGACATACTTTGGACATGGTGCAAGGAGGGACCAGTGGAGAAGAACAGCATGATTGGAAAGGTGGATTGTCAGTGCAAGAGAGGAAGACCCCTGGATGAGATGGATTGACTGAGAGACAGGTATGGGGGTGGGGATGTCAGAGACAGATATATGTTTCAGCTTTCCTTAGACTTCACATTGCTAGCCCTGAAAAGTAGACTTAAATTATGTTCTTGGTATCATAGTTAGGAGGAATTTTATTTAGTCAAGTATCATACCTTAAGTCCATTGCAGAATATTATTGAAACAGTACCGTTACAATCTTAAAAACCGTCACCTCTGCTTTGAAGCAGAAATCAGTGCCTGAAGTGCAAACTCAGAGTTGTGTGAGAGCTGGGAAGGGGGTGGTTCTCTGCTGTGTCCTCCTGCCTGGGACCTTTTCTCGTTCTTTGGGCTGGAGCGCTCCCATGCCACCCCAGTAGCAGCAGGCTTGCTACCTCCTCACTTTGTTCAGGTCACAGTGGCTTATGGTCACTCGCCTTAGTGTGAGGTGCCTTGGTTCAGTACAAACTCTACCCAGCATTCCCAGCCCTGTTTGTGCTCTTTTTCTGTAAGGCACTTAATTTACTCTCTGCTATTCCTCATTTGTACTTATTTATCTGTTTATTGTCTTTCTCCCCCTGCTAGAATAGGGCCTTTGTTTGGTGTATAATAGCTTGTACTCTGAACTCCATAAATATTTGCACTATTTCCTTTAAATGAACACAAAGAAAAAAATAAAATAGTACCACAATTTAAGCTTGCCAAATCCCCAACCCCCAAATAGTGCTGTCAATAGCTAATAGTGTTGCCACTTTAATAAATATGATCATCTTAATTTTCTGTGAAAACAAAGTAAAAACATTGTACCGTTAACTTGATTTCCCTGGTCATTACCTTTTCCATGCTGGGTTTATTTAGGATTTATATGAAACAAATTTCAAGGCAATTAAACTGTTTTGGAGAAGTGTTCTTGAATTCTAATCTAAATCTGGGTACTCTGTAAAAACAAGCCCTTGCTACTGGGCTTATCTGAAAGACATTTTCTCTAGATAGAAAGGCACAACTTTCAAGAGGAGGGATAAGTAACATTGATTTCTAGGAATTTTATATTATAGCTCATAGTCCCCAGTCCATTTAACCTTAGAAAAAGTTGATTATTGAAATAGAAAAACACATTCCTTTTAGGAGTTATTTTGTGCTGTAGACGAAAGAGCTGATTGATTTTTGCCTGTGTGACCCCTCATCTCCTATCCTAGAGAAATGACAGATCCCAAGATTGCACATGAGAACTGAAGAGTATTTACTTATTCACGTAAGATATATTATGCAAAATACTCAAATATTTTCCTTATCCAAGTGAGTTGTTTGGTTTTTTTTAACTACCGATGTAGTAGGTGAAGTATTGGGCTGCTAACTGAAAGGCAGGCAGTTCGAATCCACCAGCCACTCTGCAGGAAAAGATGAGGTTAATCTATTAATATTTACAGGCCCCAAGCCTGGTGGAGGGTCCCTGTGAGTCAGCCTTTACTCAAGGGTAATGGAGTTTGGAATTTTATGGGTCAGTATGGTGAAGGAGTTAAACTCATGAAACTCAAAACCCTTTTTCTTTCTCTCTCTGAAGATTTTGACCTTCAATCCTCAGTGATTAAGAAGAAAGTTCATTTCAGTGGGGGAAGCAAAGAGAATGCCCTGAGTGAGAATTCAGAGAGCTTGCTGACCTCCAAATCCAAGTGCAGAGACCTGAAGAAGAGGCTGCATGCAGCTCAGCTGCGCGCTCAAGCCCTGTCAGATATTGAGAAAAACTATCACTTCAAAAGCAGACAGATCTTGGGTATGCGCTAGCCTTCCAGGGAGGTCCTGAGCTGTGTACAGTATTTAAGACTGCTGAGCCTTCAAAGATTGATACTCAACTGCTGTAGCTTTTTGTGCTTGGTTCCATGAGCCAGGCTTTTGAACAGAAAGTATGATATGTGGGAATTGCTTTTTCTGGTCCTCAACAACAATTATAGAAGATGCCTTTACTCTCTGTTTTTATCCCTTTTTTAAACTAGTAGCTGGGAACACTTGACAAAGATAGACTTTCCTAGTTGATTGGATTTTTAATCCTGAGTGTGTTACTTCTGGAAATGTAGGGATGCCACATTCTAAATCTTGAGGGGAAAATAATGTTAGGGGGGGAAAATGCCAGAAGTGGCACTTTTAAGTAAAAAAGTTTCCAGTGCCTGGGTGGTATGCTTGCAGTTGTTTTGTCTAGGTTTAAAATGAATGTTCTTGAGCTGTTTCAAAAACATGATTAGATACAAATGGATCCCAGTAACCTGACATCTGGCTTCTCAGTACCCCACTGCTCTCTACTGCACATCTGTCACCTTTTGTGAAAATTTATCACTGTGATGGCTCTATTATTTTTTCCTTTTCCCTCTAACAGTGTATGTTAAATTTACTGTTTGATATAGTATGTGAGCTGGCTATTGTTTACCCACCTCTTTCTCACTAAATCAAAAAAATTCCTTTTCCTGTATATGCCTCTTGAATTTATTGACCTTTCGCTGGAAGGAATGTGTGTCTGACTGGGAGGTGGCACTAGGGAGGGAAGAGCTGTGTCTGCTCTCAGCTGTGGAATGCTTTCCCCTGATGTCCTTGACCCTCTCAGCCATGCTGCCATGCTCCGGGGTATTTGTGAGAGAGAGAGAAACAGAGATCTTGATATTATCTTAGCCCCAAGGGAGCAAATGCCAGTGTCCAGAGACACTTGATAGTCCTGATTGCGGTAAAGGTAGGATGAGTATCTCGTGAGAGGCCGGAGATGCAGCTCACAGCTTTGCAGTGCATGGGCCGCTCCACCACAGAAGGCCAGCAGCGCCACTCTCAAGAAATATGGGCTAAGTTCAAACTTGCTATCTCACCTTACAAGGAAACATATTTTGGATTTCAAAGAAGTTCATTTAAATGTTATGCACTTAGTGTGCTATTCACTATTTGGTCTTCTAAGTAAAAAAAAATGCCAATTTTAAATTATTAGCATACATTTTATCATTCCTCTTTAAGTTGTGTGCTCCAATTTTAAGCACAAATTATCAGAGCGTTTAACTTGTGTGTGAAATTACTGAAATTACATTATCTTCATTTTGTGACTCATCCCTGAATGGTGCCTCAAGTCAAACACAAAAGCCAGACTTGGGAAGGAGGGAAGAGAGGGCCGCTGGAAAGTCCAGTGGTGTGCTCCCAGGCTTCGGAATACTTGCTGACTCTCATAGATCCCCCGGGGTCCACGATGGGTGCTCACTCCCCTTCCCTCCAGCTACCAGATCTATGAACTGCACCCCCTGCAAGAGGTTTGGAGAATTTCACTTTCCCATATTCTCACTGTCTCAATCTAAGACAAAGAGACAAGTGTCCTCCGTGCCCCCGGACTTTTAAAGCTGAAATTCCATTTGTATCTGGGTCAGGGGTGGACACAGTCTTGTTCCCTTATGCCATGATGGCTTCCAGCTGGCTGCTCACCTGACAGACTGCCAGTAGAGGGTATAGAGGGGTGAAAGGGTGGGCTGGTAGAGAGGGGGAAGATGCTGCCAGGTTCTGCCTGATGTCTGGAGGCATGGGATACCCAGCCCTGAGCCGCCTCTAGACTATGAGGTCTCTGCTGGGAACAGATGGTGAAGTGGTTATAGGGCTGGGAGATAAGAAAAGGAGTTTGGGTGGGACCAGAGGTGCCTGGTTTAGTACTGTCCCAGAGAGATGACAGATGTGACTATGCAGAACCTAGACTAAGTCTCATGTGTCCACTACACTTACAAATCACAAACTCCAGGATAAAGTTATTAAAAACGTCAAGCCACAGAGCATTAAACACCAAATGTGGAAGGAACCCTCTGGGCTGCTCCTGCCACACACTCAAGAAAGCTGCCTTTCCTCAGGAGTCTCTTTTGTCACTGCTGAAAACAAAGTTTTTACTTCATTGTGAAAGTTGTAGCATGATAGATGAAGAAGATACTGTGATTGTTAATTTCCACTTGCTAGGATTCACATCACTCTTGGCACCAGCACTTAGAAAATCAAAAGACAAATTTGCATTGTGAAAATCTGCTGTCAGAGACCTCTCCAGAGTACTGAAAAGCAAGAATGTCAGTCTAGAGACTAAGATGCACCTGATCCAGGCTTTGGTCTTCACAAACACTTGCTCTGCATCAGAGAGCTGAACAATGACCAAGGATGACAGAAGAATTGATGTCTTTGTGATGTGATGCTGGAGAAGAGCATTGAATGTGCCATGGACTGCCAAGAGAACTAACAGGTTTGTCCTGGAGAGGGTGAAACCAAGCTGCTCCTTGGAGGCAAGGATTTTGAAGCTCTATCTGACATACTTTGGACATGTTGCCAAGAAGGGACCAGTCCTTGGAGAAAGACATCATAGAAGGGTGAAAAGGGTTAGCACAGGAGAGAAAAACTTGGGATGAGATGGATTGATAGAACTGGAGTAAAGGAGGGTTGCTGTGTCAGAGACATACTGGCTCAGGATAGAGCAGGGCTCATAGAGCTGTTGTGTATAGGGTGTCTGTGAGTCTGAGTCCACTTAACGGCACATAACAACACATGAGTGGCTGGATAGCATCTCTTAATTCTCCATTCCAGACTACACCCTTATTTTTACTAACATCGCGCTTTTATTGAGTGTTTCCTATGGGGTAGAAACACTAAGTTCTTGCCTTCATGAAAATCCCAGGAGGGAGTTTTAGAGGGAAGACAATACACAAACAAAACACAGGATATGTTAGTCGTAAATGCTAAGGAACAGAGTAAAGCCAGGAAGGAGAGTAGGAGTGGGGAGGAGGGATTGCAATTTAAAAGATGTGGCCCTGGAGAGAGACCAGGAAGAGGAGGTGGCTGATAGTAGGTGGGGGCTCAGGACTGAAGTGGGGGTGGAGGAGAAACTGAAAGGAGTTGAGAGAGGCTGAGAGGTGGGGGAGAAGGCATACAAGGAGGGAGGTAACTTAGTGATTCTTAATCAGCAATCCCCTGTGTAAAACTGCCAGGTCTTTCCTCTGAGGTGCCCCAGGGTGCTTTTAAACGTCTAACGTTAGAGAGAGCCAAGCAATCAAATTAACTGTGTGCACCACCAGCCACTCCAGTCAGGAGGCAGGGAGGAAGAAGAAGGTGGTGTGGGAGTGACTGAGGGAAGCAATAAGGCAGGGTGCCAGAGTGGTTGGGGAACTGAGGAAAGAAATATTCCCCCGACTCCACATCCCCTCTCCAAAACCAAGTTTCAAGTTTACTTCTAAATCTTGGGTCCGTGATGGTTGGCGAGAATGGGATCTCTTTGGCGGGGTGTGTCCTCACAAATGATATTTCGTCAGGAACTCCCTATGAGCTTTCCTGGTCATGATCACCATACTTACCATATTACAGAGTTTACTGATTTAAACAACAATCAGCTCCACCAAGGATAGCCTGCTCAAAGGCATTTGAAAAGATCACAGCTAACGTTGGCCAAGGGAACTCTGACAGCCTAGTGGATAAGGAGTAGTTGTACTATCAACCCAGAGGGAGGCATTTCGAATTCATCAGTTGCTCTTCAGGAGAATGGCAGGCAATCTCCTTCCATGTGATTTACAGCCTCTGAAAACCCTCTGGGGGGCCAGTTGTCAGTTCAGCACATTAACCTGGTCCATGAGCTGTGCTGAGAGAGTAAAACCACAAGGTGGCTCCATGGCTCTGTGAGAGCCAGAAATCCCACATTGTAATCGAGCTGAAGCACTTGGTAGTAAAAAGATACATGCCAGATGTCTGTTAAATGCCTCATGGCATTTCATTTAATCCTCACAGCATCCCTGTGTAGACGGTGATTATACTTTCACACAGAGGAGCTGAACCTCAGGGATCTCAGGTAGGAAGAGGCACAGGTGGTGTTTGAACTGAGTTCTTTGACTCTAAAGCTGCTCGTACTCTTCACTATAACCTCTCCTACAAGTGTCCACAAAAAAGCAAAAGATTACCTTTGTCCTCCAGACCATCTGTCCAATTGAGCTGAAGTGCTACTGAGTCAATCACAACTCACAGCAACGCTACGATCAGCAGGTCTAAACCTTGCCCTGTCTTGCAGCCGTCATCATTTCCAACATGCCCCAGCCCATTGTTACTGTCTGTGTCAATCCATCTTGTTGAGGTTGGATTGTCTTTCTGCCTGACCTTCCACTTTTCCCAGTATGCTGTCTTTTTCTCTTAATTATTTAAATACAATTTTTATTTTATACTGGTTTACTTACAAAGTTCATATACACTGTTTTTCACACTGAATCTTTCCCATTTCCTTTACCCACCCCTCCCTCCACCCACTGAATTATATGACCATATGATTAACCCCTCACCCATCCTCACCCCTCAAGGACTGGTCCCTCCTGACAACATCCCCCAGGTATGCAAGATGACATTTCACCATCCTTGCCTCTAAGGAGCACCCTGATTGCACTTCCTCTAAGACAGATAGTCCATGGGATTCTCAGTACTCTTCTCCAAATCCACAATTCAAAGGCACTAATTCTCCTGTCATGCTTATTCATTGATCAACTTTCAGATGCACAGGAAACAATGGAAAACACCATGGCATGAAACAGGCACATTTTAGCAGAAGGTCAAGGACTGCAGCCTTCAATATGGTTTGAAGTTCAACATCAAGAAAACAAAGACTCTCACCACTGGGCCAATTGGCAGCATCAGTATGGATGGTGGAGAGATTGAGGTAGTTAACAGTTTTTGTTTACTTGGTTCCACAGTCAACACTCTTGGTAACAGCAGCCAGGAAATCAAGAGACAAATTGCATTGGGAAAGTCAGCTGTGAGGGACC